CAAAATTCTGATTGAAAAAAAAAATGCTCGTGTTTTCACGAGAACTGTAATTAACTAAAAGTTGAGAGCCAGTTCTTAACAAAAATGTCATGACTGCTTCTGTAGAGGTACAGACAATTTCCCTCCTCGTTTGCCACCTTTTCTCAGGTTTTTAATGGAAACGCAGACAAGGACACCATCGTGAATCATGTACTAATTCAGCCAATCATAGCCCGGTCCGTTCAAATAAAACCAAAATCATGGAATGGTCATATCTCCATGAGAGCAGAGTTTTACGGGTGCATCCTTTCAGGTAATGTCTGAGGTAGTTTGTTTGATCGACAAGATTCACCTAAAACCCAGCTAGTAAACGCACGTTTGACTTACTCGCATAAGGTAACAGTTTCTCTTTTTCGTGGCGGATTACAGTAGTGTATAGCGCGTCTTTTTTGATCGTGGCGTTGATGTGTTGGTCTCAATCAATAGAATAGATTGTGTTGGCCATTTATAAAAACAATGGTTTTTGTATTTTATGGGAGACCTTTTTTTTTAATTCAGCTTAGCTTTTGTGAACTACTGAGACAATGTTTTGTGAAGTTGCAAACAAAGCCTATTTATACAGCCACTCAATTTTAAAGAGGGAAGAACCTCTAGAAAGATTTGCATCGACTTTGTAAAGAAAGAGTTCTTAGGATCAACTGTTCAGTTCCCGTTGTTGGTTGTGCAATAGACCGATACCAAGTGTTGGGCCGAGTGGTGCACGTGGATTTCGTAAAAGAGCAACTAGAAACAAAGAAAAAGGTAAACTTTGGAGACTCCCAGGAACAGACTAATGGAATCGAGCTGGCAGTCATGGCGGATACCATTCATGTGAAGGTGTGTTTGACAATTTTGTACTTAAGTCTAGTCAACGCTACAATAGGCTCCTGAGGGGCTTATCAGTTATTTTTTGCGTCTTCTAGTTTAATTTTAATTTTAATTTTAATCTGTGATCGATGATTTGTTACACAGGGAGACATTAAAATGCGTGGCACCAAGAAACTGACAATGTTCAGCCGTAAGCTTTCATTTGTGAAAGGAAGTAGGCTAGATCTCAGAGCTCCAGATCGACCACAAAACTTTAAAAACCTTGAACCTGGCGCTGATGGAAAGGATGGCAACCATGGTGCAAACGGGACCATAGGTAAAAAGATGGCTTTAAGAGCAGCTCGAAATCTCTGTTCTTATAATGAGTGTCATGCAGAGGTTTCAGTACCAAGGACGCCATGGCAACTTGATGAACTTGAGAATTTCACAACAGAGCTAAACTACAACAAGACTCAGTTAAGAAAAGTGACATTTGTTCCAGTAACCATTACTAATCTTGACAAAGATGTCGACGATTTCATTTATTATTAACTTATTCTTGGTATTTTAAAGTAATATTTTTTTACTCGGTAAACATTTTTCTTTTGATAAAAGCTAGGTTTAATTAACGATCTTGCGTATATTTTTTAAAAATATTTCTGTAAACATTTTTAATAGAAAGGTTGAATTAGCGATTTTGTATATTTTTTTTAGAAAATTTAACCTACGTTAACAAATAAAGTATGTATGTATGTATGCATGTATGTATATGTCAGAAATGTGCTAAAAAAAACTCGTTTGTGTGAAAATAGTAACAATGGCAATGATCTTGATATTGATGGTGATGAATCCCTTTTTAGAATCTCAGCTGTCGTTAGTTCTGCTTTTTTAAAGATATTTCTTCCTTATTATCAGTGGAGATATCAGCCCATACTGTGGTAGGATACATCAACATCATAACTAACGGCGGTAATGGAAACAAAGGCCAAAATGGCGCGGATGGGAGGAAAGGGGCTGACAGCATGGCAAAGGTATAAAAATTATTATATGTTTGTTTGTCCCTATTTTGTCCGATGTTTTCGTTATTTGTTACGAATGAATACCTTCTACCCGATTATAAACAGAGCCACCAAGATTTCACTGTATCAATGACGAAATCTCGCCCAAAAATTTCACTAGCAAAATGGATGGACGATTATCACTCAGAGAAGAAAATAGATATAATAAAAATGACCTTTGACTTCCGATGATATAGCCACATCTTTGTATGTTTATCCGTAAGTGACACTTAAAAGTCTTTAGATTCATACAACGGCGAGGTAATTACATGGAAGCTTTTTCCAATTACAACAGGTTTTGGATAAAACACAGTCAGATTGTAATGCGCGAGCTAAGAGGAATGACAAGGGTAAAGTCACCGGGTGTACAGAAAATATCACAGGGACACCAGGTGCCAAAGGAGGAAATGGAGGAGATGGGGGATACGCTGGAAAGTCGGGTTTGTGATGAGTTACCATAGATAAAAAATGGCCCGCTTGTGTCATTTAAGACTGATTGCTAAACATATCGTATGTCTCAAAACTGTAACAGGGCACTCCAAAATTCCATCATCTCTCTCGACACATAATTCCCGACAAGCCTAAAACTCTCAGCATAAGTTTTAAAACCTCCATTTTTATAGCGAAATGATTCTCGGAGCACAAAGTTTCAACAATAAAATATTCCTGACTTTGCCGGGCGTCGGTTTATCGCTTTGGATAACTTCTTTTCACCGTCCAGATATTTGTTTGTGATTTATTGTTGTTTTTATTGTTGTTGCTTTTTTTTTTGTTTTGTTTTTTTTTTGGCTTATTCTTTTTTTTGTTATATTTTCTTTATAAATTATCGTTACGTCACTGTTTACGTTTTGTTATTTTGCTCGTTTAGTAATTCACTCAATTTTGTTTTTAATAATAATGATAATAATAGTACAGTAAATGGTTTGAACGCGGGGGTAACATGTAATAGTGTAGTTTGATCGTCCGGGTGAGTGTAGTCCTGAGAAGGACTGTTGTCGGTGATATATGGCGACTGACTTTCGACAAACTGAGCGGAAGTCGTCATTAGAGTCAAGTGAAAAGCTGGTGTCAGTCGAATGTACTTAGTCCGGTTTGTATTAACTGATTGGTCAGTTTTCCCGCGATGTTATTGGCTGTAAGACTCAAGTGACGTAGGTCAGTCAAGATTGGTCGGTTTCGATCGGTTAGTGAAGTTAGGTTGTTCTTTTCGGTTCGTTTGTAATGTTAATGTCGTGAATGAGTCGTTTGTATGGTGCCGGTAGTGGTTGACACCTGTTGAGACGAGTCTGTTCCAGGTTAATAAATCAGATTTCCAGGGTCAGTCGTTGAAAGTAGTTGGTGCTGTAGGTTACGCATTGCGCAGAGTCCCAGTCAATAGTGTGTTTCGTGAGTCGGTGATGTTCAGCAATGTGGTTGTTGACATCGCCTTTCCTCGTCGCTCGTTTATGTTCAGTCAGTCTAATTGTGAGGTTTCTGCCAGTCTCACCGATGTAGGAGGCGTGGAAGTCGGAGCAATTGATCTTATATACTGCTCCCTGTCTGTTCCTCGGTTCGTCTTTGCTTAGTTAGCTACTGACGTTAGTCAGTAACTGACTTAGTGTGGTAATAGGTTTGTGAGCGACGCGAATATTGAAACCTGAAGCATCACATCCACGTCGCTCACAAACCTATTTCCAGGTTGTCGAAACGTCAGTCACCATTACCGACAACAGTCCTTCTCAGGACTACGCTCACCCGGACGATCAAACTACACTATTACAATAATAGTAATAATAACTTGCAAGATTCTAGAGTAAAGAATATTGGCATGGAAAGAATGGTTGAATTTTGTTTCAAAAATGTGCTTTTAAGTGGAATGATATCGAAATTAATTATATGGAGAATGATACATGGGCGCGCGTGGATATGGAATTTCTCTTCGAGTGTTTAACTCTCAAGGTGAAAGCATGCGTGGAATCACTACAAAAACAAACAATGGGCCTGGTTTCAATGTACAAAATTCTCAGTTTTTGTCCTGGTCCTTACCGACAGAAGAAATCTTTCAGGTAAACGGCCAAAGTCGGGTTGCACCAAATCTCAAGTGGTCGATTTTCGTTCTCAGCCACAAGATATGCCATTACCCAAAGCAATTGAATGAGTAACTTTCGATTTTTCGTCTGGTATTTTGGTCTTCCTCCCCTTCTAGTTTGAACGTCACTGTCTGTAAGCGATACGGATTTTTCAATGTACTAGCGGCCATAATCCGAAAAAATTCCGACAAATAACCTTGGATTGAGAATGATGAAGGCTTTGCCGTTCGTTCATCAACCTGACCGAGTGGCACGAAAGTCGAGTGACGTGTCAGCAGCTGACTAGCTATATCAAACACACGTGAAAACATATAGTATTTTCACGTGCGTTGTTACGGCTTTCCTCGGGGCCGGAAATCCTTGTATAACACCGTAGTTTATTGGATAAAACACCTTTATTTGTGTTGCCGAAGCTCTGATTTGTCTAACAACAGGTAATGGAGGAAACGCTGGTCGTCAAACAATCTATTTAACAAGATTGCTCGGGAATATAGAGCTAAAGACGTGTCGCGGAACAGGAGGACAAGCGACCAAAAATGGAGTGGGTGGAGAAGGTAAAGTTTCGCATCCTCTTTTGCATTTTGAAAAATCCTTTGCACATTCACAAGCGGTATATCGAAATTTTGCAGTCATTCATCCCCTTGTAAATCTTCTTTAGAGCTACTACAACCAATTCCCAACTATTAGCAGAATTTTTGCGATATGAAGAGATCCCTAGAAACTACGCCCCTTCCGCCAAAATTAAACTACATATTTCAAAAATTTTGAAACTGCAAGTTGCCTTAGTTTGGTTCAATTACCATCTCTTTGGATCTGCAGATGAAAATTACTAAGATGCGTTTGAAGATACTAATGATGATAGTGCTGATGAAAATGGTGATAATGTTAATTGCTACATAAAAAAAATGAATAAATTAGATGAAAATGGAAAGGTTTTTTGTGAGGGTCAAATCTGGACTTCATCTTCGTTTTGAATTGAACATCATCATCACCCTCCTTTTAACTGACAGGAGGCCAAGGGGGACTCGGAGGTCGTGGAATCAAATGCAAATACAGCCGTAGATGCAAAATAGTCGGACTAGCATGCAAGGCTGATGGTCAAACTGAGGCTTCTCGAGGACGAACTGGAAATAAAGGTCGCAACGGGCAAAGTTGAGTGTTGCACCTTGGTTGCAATTTTTAGCAATATGGTATAATCATTTTTTGAAGAGTAACGGCGTATTTATTCTTTCGCGAAACCTTTCCTGTGTGCCCGAAGATTTTTTATTTATTTCAGTCGATGCTCGATCATTGCGTCATTCTTTGTGGTAAATCTGGTTATTTTTATGTCGCAAAACGAGAAAGTGGCAAAACATATTTTCACCTTTATCGTTTGACCTAACAGTAACCTCCAAAACTTTTGAAAAGGATGATATAAAATGATCCTAAAATGGATCACATTTGATCCAAAAGTTGGATACCTTTGTCCTAGATTTCCATCTTTTCTTTATTTTTATTTTCCTTCAGGTTCATGAATACGCCATAAAATACATTGTATCTTGTTTTATTGTTTCAGCCCCTGTAAGCGCTGGTTCAAATGGTAAGGTAGCAGACTCCTTCCTGCAAAAGTTAAATCTCGATCGCAGCCAGAAAGATAAATATCCAGTCGTATTGATAAAGGTGATGACAAGATACGCTGAAGACCTTGTCTGGGTCAACAACACCAGAAATGCGCAAGCAGTTTTTGAGTTTATAGCTGATTTAGCAATTGGAAGAGATGACGACCTAAGAAAATGTAAGATGGGTCGGCACATCTACTGACTTTTGAGTTTTCGGATCTCGCATTACCAAAAAATTGCAACCCTGATTACAAATTAAGATGATTCAATATGTTGGATCGATACTATCGGAATTCAGGAATAAACACTTAACACATGATACATTTCCAACCATAGTTGTTTTGATATAAAGAGGATGAAATTTTGTCATGTTAACCCTACATGTCAAAAAAAGAAAAGAATTAAAAAAAGCAATCAAAAATTGTCTAGTAATTAAGTCGTCGAACAATTTTCTTACAATGGTTAACGCGACAAAGGAAGAAAGAGTGGAGGCTTCAATTTATCAAAACGTTGGCGTTTAGATTGACGAAACAATTTAGAGCCACTGTAAAGTAGAGCTAGGTTTAATTTTCAACAAAAATATAAATTGAAGGTTGAAAATAATGGGCAAATCAAAAAAGTACTGTTTTAAAATGTATTACTGCACAATTTTTGATAGCCTGTGTCCTACATGTAACTTATGCTTACTCTTGCTGAAAAACGCTGGTTCCTCTCAGGTTCAAAAAAGCTAATGATGTTGCTCAAAGCTAATCAGAAGAAGGTTTGTAACTTCAAAACAACAAAGAATGGATCAAAAGTAAAAAAGGAAGATACTGCACCTTCCAACAACTTCTTTGAACTACTTCCTAAGGCAAAACAGCTGATTAAAAAAATCGAGTTTAGCAGAGAAATTGAAGGAAAATGCATTTTTTTTTTCAGTTGCAAAGCGAAGGCTGGGTTTCCTAAACAAGAAGGGATTTGATAGATTTGGAAACAATAAACTATTTGCACCTCTGATGAAATGGGAAACGTTTAAAGAACAACTTGTGCAGATAAAAGATAATGCACAATCATATGAAAATGCCTATAATGGGATACGGGCATCTGTCGAACGACAGGAAGGTATTAAGCAAGTGCTGCAAGCCCTTCCCCTACCAGCCAAGAATCAGGTCCATAAAGAAAAAGAAAGACTTGTGGAGGCAAGAAGGATAGCATTGAGCGAGAAGAGAGCCTATGGGCAGGTACGTACCGCCCGGCTATTCATTTAAGGACCCACTCAGTCAGATAGTTTGTCCGTCAGACAGCCAGTCAGTCTTTCGACTAGTCAGTCACTCAGTAAGTCACCCAGTTACTTATTCACTCGGTCACTCAAAAACAGATGTGCAAAGTTAATCATGCTTTCACCTATACATTCACGTACTCACTGAAAAACACGTTTAGATGTTCAGTCCCTAACCTAGCCCTCAAAGTTGTTAATGTCATCGATGACTGAAAAAGATGGATGAATACTAAAACGCACAAATGAAAGGATGAGCGAATTTTGGTTAAAATATAAGCATCATTTTAGCCGTTTGTTTTTCATCCTTTTGGGACAGGCCATTACTGAATTGGAAGCAAGCATGAAAAGCTCACTTGAAGAAATACTCGTTCAACTTCCAGACGTACATCAGACAGCACAGTTTAACAAAATCGACCTGTTTGTTGTTCTGCAAGCTTTAGTAGGATTTGTCACTGGTACTACAGAGAGAGATTCATTAGCATTACTTGGGACTGCTTTAAAAGTTATTGGACATTTTGCTTCAAAGTGCAAAACTGGATCGCTTCAAGACAATAAGGACAAACTCGAAAAATGGCTGATGTTTGGTAAGGAATACGCTGCCTTAAACGACTCTAGTGATCTGGATTTTGACAAAATAGATGTGGGATCTGTACCGGAAGTCATGAAGGTATAAGCCCTCTGTAAAGCTAGATTTCAGCACTTTTAAAGACAATTTTCGACCGGTTGCCATGGGTTTTCTCTAGAATCCCAAAACGCGGTTAGTGTCATTATCTCATTGAAACATGGATAGTGGGCATGAAATGTTCACTTTTCCTCTTCTT